GTGGTATTCTGCTCGAGTTTGGGTGGGTGTCACTCGTGTTTTTGCGGATTTTCCGGAAAATCTACAGGAGTACTATTTCTTTTTTTCTCTCTTTTATTTATTTACATATTTAAAAATCGCCCTTATTGTCAGTCAAAAAATCCATGGTTGTAACCTAAAAATACATGGTTCGTTGCGAATATACCTATATTAACATAATCTATAATATATTTAAGGATTTCATACCTCAGAGATCGTTTTGGGAGTATTATGGGCACTATTCTTAATGAAACACTTTTTTTTAATATAATTTCGACTTAAATTTTAACGAGGGAGTAAGTAGTTTTACCACGTGATGATTGCAGGGAATATCTTGTAGATCTTGCTGCCTTTTTTCTCAATGATAAATGAGGCGTGGGAGTGGGGGGGTTTGGAGGAGGAATAAACACAAAGCTGTATTAGTGTGTGTGGAGACAGAACAAAAAAATTATGAATGAACGTTGAATGAATTTTATTCTATGACTAAGAGTGTGAATGAACCCAAAATGCATGAGTGAATGTGAATGGGGCATACGTGATACCAGTATGTATTGTATAATGGTATTTTTACAGTTTGTACCGTTCTGATTCATATTACGAACACGCTCAAATTCTGAGCACTTGTGTTTTTGTATGGGACGGATTTTGAAAAATTTTCTTTTAGGATGTCCATATTACGATAAGTCGTGAGTTTAAATACATTCTGAGCGGATCAGCAATATTTTAGGTAAAAAAGGTGTTTTTCAAAGGATGATTTTAACGCACTGTTCGGAATTTGAATCAATACGGTAAATCGCGCGATGATCGAGACGTTTCCGTCGGATAAGATTATTTTGCGGCCGAGTGTCTAGGAAGCTATGGAAACCGAAATGGCTCTTGATTTTGTTTTATGCCCTTATAGTATAAACCACCATCGCACTTCGTGAGTTGCCCCAATAGAACCCTTGCTTTTGGTTTGAAACAAATTCGTTCTATTATATAAAAAAAAAGAAGTATACATATTCATTTTCTTCCGAACTAAATAAACCACCATCACACTTTGTGAGTGGCCCCAACAGTATCCTTGCTGTTGGTCTAAATCGGGTCAAATCGCTTCTAATAATTATTTTATATTCAATCAAGTAAACCACCATCACACTTTGTGAGTGGCCCCAACAGCATCCTTGCTGTTGGTTTAAATCGGTTCAAACCGCTTATAATTAATTATTTTGGTCATTGATAAAATAAAATAAACCATCATCACACTTTGTGAGTGGCCCCAACAGTATCCTTATTGTTGGTTTAAATCGGTATACACACATCTAATAATGATCTACATCTCTAGACAGCCGGCTGTTTAGAGCATAAATCGAAAATACTTATAAATAACTACACAAAACAAAAGATCGCATCACTTATCAAGGTGAATCCTGATCCAACGAACCTAACCCACTAACAAAACCTCCTTCCTGTGACTTTTGTGGGATGCAGAGGTAAACACGGTCCCAAAACAACAAAAGTCACACACTAACATTCCTTCCCTCTCCCACCTGATTGCAAGGACGTGGCCGGTGACGTTATTGATCTTTAAAGGTAGGAGTCACTGGAACATGTACACTGAGAATGGCAGGTTACTCCCAAGCCCCATTCAGTTGATTCTTTGTACAATTTCACTGGTTCAGATCAATCACGGAGTGCAACTATCGATACGTGCAGTCAGACTAAGCTAAGCTAAGCTAAGCTAAGCAACTATTGTAAAAATAACTATATTCTATTATTAATCCAACAATAGTTCATTTCAATTTAGCATTTATTTGCTGTGTCCATTCCCCGGGCCATGAATGCAAAAATAACTACCAACCATTCCCTCGTTTTCACCCGGACAAAAGTGTAAACAATAACAAAACTTGTGAATTTCGGAAATAAGTGCAAAATTTCCGAAAATCTTAAGTAAGTATGCTGCAGTTCAAGCTGCAGTTGCTAAATATAATCAATTTTCTGTTTTTTCCTTGATTTTTTTTCGTCGATCTTGTTTTCCGTACTGAGTACCAATGCTCCTGACGCCAGGAAGGCAGCTCCCACACCTGGACCCTACATATCGACCCATCAACTAATTAACCGGGGACCAACGGCTTTACTTCCCTTCCGAAGGATGATCAGTGAAAAAGAAAACAAAACATAAAAAAAATGCCATATTATTTCCGGAGTGATTTGAGATTTGGGCGTAATTGCATTTGTAAACAAATACGTCAATCACCGATTTCTCGCGAATAAAAGCTCAATCTCGAAAAGTATTAACACTATGCGGTAGAGGAATGATTCCTCTATCATTTGGTATAGTTTGTTTGTGACATTGAGCTTTTATTCAAGAGAAATCAGTGATTGACGTGTTTGTTTTCAAAAGCAATTACGCCCAAATCTCAAATCACTCCGGATTTTTGAATCAATAAACATATTTTTATTTCTACTGCGTGAATTGTCAGACTTCATAAAATAAATATGATTGAATCAACAAGAAATCTCTTTTAAAAACAAACATATTTTTATTGTTGACCCAGCTGCCAAATTTGACAGCTTACGTCAAAACCATGAAAGCTCTTGTAAATTCGAAAAGATTTTCTTTTTGATTTAACAATCCATGGGTTTTGAGGAACAAAAATACTGGATTGTTGAAACAATAATGATTTCTTTTTGCAGCCAAAACAAAATGAAATTCTTATTCATTTTACGTCAAATATTATTACGTTTATAATATTTTTTTCTGCGTGTAGTATACCCTTATAAACGGGTACCATACACAAAGTATATCATAGATGGTGCGACCATACCGCATAGAGTTGGGATGATATCTCACTTCTTATAATTATGTTTTATGCGGATAGTATTCCAGAATCTAACATTGCTGCTTGTTTCATTCTAGATACACTGGCGGTATTACTATTTATGTCAAAAAATCAGTACAATTCAACCTTCGTCTCAACGAAGTTATTGATGGCAACTGGTTCTTGGGCATTACAGTTGTACGTGGCATGAAGATGGTTGATTATAGTGTTTTGTATCATTCTCCCAGTTCTAGTGATCAGCGTTTTGTTGAAGTTTTCGAGAACTGGCTCAGGACATTTCTTGATTCTAGTTAATAAAATATATTAGCTGGTGATTTTAATATTAATTGGCGTGATAATTGTAAGTCAAATCATTTGAAGCGTTTAGCTGATTTTTTTCAATTTCATACAAACTGTTCCGATGCAATGAACCATAACACATGCGGGAGGGAATCGCCGTGGAAAACGATCTTGGGATGACACTCGAAGTGCCCTTGACGATTCCTTTGGATGGACGGATCTTCGGTGGTGGACTGTATTTTCGGATGATCGATTCGGAAAGAACAATTTTGCTACACTAACTTAACTACATTTATTACTCTTTGCTCTAGTGTACACACTTTGAAGGTTGAATTAATACTCATCTCGTTTTGTGCTGTTCTCCCTCGCACGGTAGGGATTGGATAGTATTGAGCGTCACTGTTCGTAGTGTTGCCGTAGGAATAGGATTGGGCGCTACCTCACTTCATTACTTCTGGGAACGGACGGAACATTTTCCCTCCGGTTGAGACATCGTATCAACAGCTTCCGGTACCGATGAGGGGCAAACGTTGTCCTCGATTGGAAGTACGGAGACCTTGTTGGTAGGACGACGGTACGTTGATCCGTTGGTGAACACATCGATGGCCCGTACTAAACCGTCATCACCTGGATACACTGATGTGATTCGACCCAGCTTCCAACTGAGCGGGGGTTAAGTCTTGTCGTGGAGTACGACCACCATTCCAGGTCGAAGGTTTGGTGTCGTTCGTAGATTCTTCTTGCGTGGTTGGAGAGAATTGAGGTAATCGCTAGACCACGCTCGCCAAAAATGCTCACGCATCAGTTGAAGATGTTGCCATCGATCGAGTCGGTTAACGTTGATATCTTCCAGGGACGGCTCGGCTGGAGCGATCAGCGGACGACCTATAAGATATTGAGCTGCCGTAATTACCTGTGGATCTGCAGGATCGCTGGACACGCTGTACAACGGACGCGAGTTTAGGATAGTCTCTATCTCCGTCAGGATGGTCGCCATTTCTTCGAATGTCAGCTTCACGTTGCATACGACTCTCTTCAGGTGGGGTTTCGTCGCCGTGGAAATAAGTTGCATTGTCCGAATGAATTTGTTGGACCTCTTCGACTTATGAATCTCTTCAACGACGCTAGGAAGGCATCCGACGACAGATCGGATACGACCTCCAAATGCACAGCCTTCGTCGCCATGCACACGTAGACTGCTACATACGCTTTTACGAGCTTCGGACGATGTGAACCTTGTTTCACCAGAAACGGACCGGCATAATCCACACCAGTCACTGCGAACGGAGGCGATGGTACGATTCTCGATGTCGGTAGATTTCCCATTAGCTGTTTGGTTTCATCAGGATTCGTGCGAAAACATTTCACACATGACCGTGTTACTTGTCGCACAGTAGACTTTGCGTTCAGAAGCCAGTACCTCTGCCGAATGATGTTGATCAAACCGGCTTAATCGATGTGAAGATGCTCTAAATGCAATGCAGTAATCAACTTTCTCGTTACAGAATCCTTGTCGGGAAGAATGAGTTGTTGCTTCGCTGCAAACGGCAGTTTCGAGCGATCCAATCGCCCTCCGACTCGCAGCAAGCCGTTTTTATACACCGAGTGAAGGTTGCCCAGACGTTTGCATGGTTGATTGGAGACCAGTCGTTGAATTTCAACACCAAGGTGCACTTGTTGAATCACCTTGACGATTGCTTCCAATGCTTTACGTAGCTCTTCGACAGTGAGATGGGCTTGCTTCACACGATCGGGTGACCGTGGCCTTCGGCAGTTGCTGACGAACCTCAACGCGTAGCCTATAATGCGTTGAATTTTTCGAAAAGAGCTGTGTTTGAAGAAGAACGGAAAAGACTCACAACTTACCGTAGGAGTTGCAACTTAGACCTTCAGCTCGGGAAGGTTGTTGTCGGGAATCTCTTCGGTGTTTTCACCGTCGTATTCGGATGCGGACAGGAACTTCGGACCATTCCACCAGAGGCTGCGTTTTGTGGCTGGTTTATCGGCAGGTTGCGAAATGCTTGGTGGATTGGCAATCATGAAAATGTCGATGTTCGGATCCCAGAGCAATCCGAGTACCTTGATTACTTCGTTGGGTCCATACTCGTGTAACGGAACTTTCTTTTCTCGATCTGCAGGTGGTATGTACTCGAGAAACTCATCCGAGTTGGAGCACCATTTGTGGATATGAAATCCACCTCTGGCAAGCAGGGCTTTCAGCTGACATTGGCATTCGATGGCATCTTCGAGGGTGTTGGCTCCGGATAGAGCATCGTCGACGTAGAAGTCTTCTATCAGGATCCAAGCACCGATGGGAAACTCAGAACCTTCTTCCTGGGCAAGCTACACCAAACAACTCGTTGCTTGGTATGGTGCACAAGCTGTACCGTACGTAACGGTATTCAATTCAAGAACCCTCAAAGGATGCGATGGATCGGATCGCCAGAAGCATCGCAGGAACCGCCTGTCCAGGAGCACCGTGAGCACTTGATGGTACATCTTGGCTACATCGGCTGAAAAAGCATATGGGTACTTGCGGAATCGCAGCGTAATTGAGAATATTCCATTCTGCACTAAAGGGTGATACGGTCAAAATTTGGTCAAGGGAAAACGCGTGTAAATCGGTGAAATCGTTTATTTAAAAAATCAAATTAAATTTCTTTTTCAAGTTCAATTAGTATAAAATTCAGGAAAAATATTCAGTTAGGCTTCCGCTTTTCCAAATCCGAATTGCCGGGCCTTACGCTTGACCCCTGCCATCAGATTTTGTACAGCCACCTTGTCCACCTTCTTCGCCGCAGAAAGCCAGTTTGCCTTGAACTGCTGCTCACCCTTAGCAGTTTTTTGGTCTTCTTTAGGTTCCGCTTGACAATAGCCCAGTATTTCTCAATTGGGCGGAGCTCTGGCGTGTTGGGAGGGTTCTTGTCCTTGGGAACCACCTGCACGTTGTTGGCGGCGTACCACTCCATGGCCTTTTTACCGTAATGGCAAGATGCCAAATCCGGCCAAAACAGTACGGAACAACCGTGTTTCTTCAGGAAAGGCAGCAGACGTTTATTCAAACACTCTTTCACGTAAATTTCTTGGTTGACAGTCCCGGAAGCTATGAAAATGCTGCTTTTCAAGCCACAGGTACAGATGGCTTGCCAAACCAGATATTTCTTTGCGAACTTTGACAGTTTCATGTGCTTGAAAACATCTGCTACCTTTCCCCTTCCTTTTGCCGTATAAAACTCCTGTCCCGGAAGCTGCTTGTAGTCGGCTTTGACGTAGGTTTCGTCGTCCATTACCACGCAGTCAAACTTCGTCAGCATCGTCGTGTACAGCCTCCGGGATCGCGCTTTGGCCGTCGTATTTTGTTTATCATCGCGATTTGGAGTCACTACCTTCTTGTAAGTCGATAGTCCGGCTCGTTTTTTGGCTCGATGCACGGTTGTAGACGATACACCCAGCTTATTTGCGGCATCTCGGAGAGAGGTTAGGGTTTCGCTTGAAACTACCGGCAACTCTCTTTGTCGTCTCAGCGGCTTCCGGTTTTCGATTTCCCCCCGATCCAGACTTCCTGGCTGTCGACAAACGTTCCCCAAACACTTTAATTACATTTGTAACGGTTGATTTGGCAACTTTTAGCGATTTTGCCAACTTTGCGTGCGAGTAGCTCGGATTTTCGCGATGCGCGAGCAAAATTTTGATACGCTGCTCTTCTTGCTTGGACGGCATTTTGACAACTGAAGAGTGAATTCCAAAATCAAAATAGGAGCAACATTCTACACACACACCTTCAAAATGAGGGGTGTTCAGGTTTTTTAAATGCAAAATTGAAAGAAATACGTCAAGTTGATATTGACCAAATTTTGACCGTATCACCCTTTACTGGGCCGACTTGGAGCACCTCGTTGAGCGACAGCTTGGATGGTTCGGAATTGGCGCTAGCGTCGAATACCACTCGACACTTGGTGGTTGAGCTCGAAGGACGCAGCACCGCATGATGGGGCAGGTAGTACCTACTCAGATTCGGTGGGTCATCAGCTTCCTTGATTTCCCGGCAGTGGTCAAGATCCTCGTACTCCTTGATGAAACCGACGTATTGTTGCTTGAGTTCGGGATTGCGTTCCAAACGTTTTTCGAGCATGAGGAATCGCTTGAGCGCCAGAGAGTGGTAGTTATCCAGCTGGTCCACGTTATCCTTGAATGGCAGCTTCACAACAAACCTACCGGCCAAATCACGCTCGTACGTCGATAGGAAATGGGCTTCACAGGACAGCTGTTCGGGTGAAAATGGAGAAGCGTCTGGTACTTCCTCCATCTTCCAGAATTTGTGCATCAATTCCTCGATGTAATCGATCGAAGCAGAGTTGGCGTGTTGGATAGCCGCGTTCGAAACGTACGGCTCGTTTATCACTCCGGCTACCACCCATCCAAGATGAGTGTCCCGAAGTTGCGGTAGATTTGCACCTAGGCTCAGGTGATCGGGCTTCAAAATGCCGAAGAAAAGCTCTCCCTCGATCAGCATGTCGACCTCTCGGGGCAGAAGAAACGTGGATCGGCGAGTTGGATGCCGTCAGGGATTTTCCAGGTGCTGAAATCGATTCTGCTGTTTGGAATAGTTCCAGTTACCTTGGGTGTAACCAGACACTCGATGTTCGCTTGAAAGTGAACGAACACTTTGTCACGAGCTAGGCTTCTCAAGGCGTTGATTCCAGTAATCGGGACTGTACGCGATGAACGCTTCCAATAGGAAAATAAACGACGTCATCGAATGGCGCATCCTGATTGGCTGACGCAGCCGATGAAAGAGTATAAAAGTAAACAACATTGCATTTCATGTTTCATTCTGTATCCTGCATTTAACCGTTGAAAAGGAAACAGCGAATAAATAAAGGTAGAATTGAGAACAGTGTCTCATTCTTTTCGTCCGAGAACGGAGATTTCCCGAGCATTCGTGCTTCGTCCAGTTCCTGTTCGTTCATCCACTGGTTGCATGTGGTGATCGATTCATCTTCCATAAGTTCCACCTAGTGGACACTTTTAAAAGTGTTGAACTTTCCTGTTTCCCTGCTCATCGGAACCTTGTGTTCGGCAGTTTTGCCGTGGTCCTTCGAGAGAGAGAGAGAGGTTTACCGGCTGGTGGCTGTAGTGGTTACAGCTGTTGGCAGCACAACGACTGGTGGCTGAAGAGTTATCAGCGACCCAGCGTTCCTACGTTGCCCGCTGTGGTGTGCGCAGCCAACGGTGCATCGTCCCTTCGCTGGTAGCTGTGGTGTGCACAGCTGTCAGTGGCTCATCGTCCCACTACTGGTGGCTGTGAGGTGCACAGCTGTCGGTGGCTTGATCACGAGTTGTGTCGTGGTCCTTCGTTTGAGAGAGGCATCCCGTCGCTGGTGGCTGTAGCGTGTACGGCCAACGGTGACTCTTCGATCCATACGCCGGTGGCTGTGAAGTGCATAGCTGTCGGTGGCCCGATCACAAGGTAGGTTTTCGTCTGTGCTGTTGTGGTAAAGGCAATGAATCTACTCCAAGAGAAATTGAGTACATAACAGGGACTTTAGCTTTCATCTTAGGAGAACCGAGGCGGTTTGCCATATCCTCGGTAACGAAATTGACTTGTGACCCACTGTCGAGCAGGACTCGACATGGATGCGGTTGGTTATGCCTATCGATGGCTTGGACGACTGCAGTAAGCAGCAAAACAGTCTTCAATGTTTGGACGTGATTGTTTGAGCATGCAGTGGATACGGGTTTATCCACCACCGAAGCAGGAGGTTGAACACTAGGTGGTGGTTTGTTGATTTCAGGATTCTTTGGCGAAGCGACGTTCGCTTTGACATCCTGGCTGCTGTCCCTTTCGTTGTCATCGTGTAGTAGGGTATGATGTCTTCTGCTGTACTTTCGACACGTTTTGCTGGACGTACACTGTTTGGACTGATGTCGCTTGCGGAGGCAGTTAAAGCACAAATCTGTCGTTCGGACTTTCTCTGCCTTCTGAGTTCCTGTTAGCTGTTTGAACTCCGTGCACTGGAAGTTGAAATTTCCACTGCCACATAACTGGCAATGACCTTGGGATGTGCTGGAACTCGTGGTGGCAGCAACAATCAATAAGAAAATATCGATTTTAAATTGGCTCACTACTTGAATAGCCTATTGGTCCCAAGCAAATCGATTAACGTACCCAATTCTAGTCAAAATTCTAGTACTACACAATGTTTGTTTTGATTCGCTATGAAAGTTTGACTGATAAAATGAGGGGTTAGTGGAATTTCCTATGTTTCGAGGGGTGAAGATAGTACCAGAGCTGAGCCAAAAACTAAAGCTAGTTTCTTCGGGACCTACTAGTCTTAGAGTTACCTCTATGGTGGCAGTGTTGCTCTTCAGCAACGACATCTTGCTTGTAGTCGTTGTGGCTTTGGGTTTGGAGATCGCTGATTGCGCTAGCGCTCGCGATGACTCACACTGCTCTAGGACTTGACAGCTGGTCTTGATGAATGAAATCGTCTGTTCGTACTTCGGCAGCACTCCTCTCTGTTCTGGTACCGAAGGCTTTCGACGTAACCGGTTGCTTCGCTCAGCAGGCTATCCAATTCCTTGAACGTTGCTTTCGACATCTTCTTCAACGAAAGCAATCCTCGGTTGTGCGATTCCACAATCACACGCGTATTCTCGTAGCGATCGGATAGCACCTTCCGGGCTTGCTGATAATTACCTTCATTGATCGTCTTCGCATCCAGTATTCCAGCAGCGGATCCAACGAGATGGTACAATTAGCGTAATTGCCGTCAAACGTAGGGATTGGCGCTTTCAGTGGTTGTTGCTGGATGATGACTTGTGGTGCGGGAACAGAAATTTGCAGGTTGCCGTGGTGTAGCGAAGTTGATCAATTCCTGAACGCGATTTGACAACTCACTGTGCCGGTTCTCGAAAGAGCAGTAAATGTCATCCTGCTCATCCGATGCTTCGTCAGGAATCAAGGCCATGATCTCGCTATGGAAGTGGCTAAACTCGGTGTAGATGGCTACGAGTTTTTCCTTGGTGCACTGCAGCTGGGCTAACCTCATACTTTTCTGGTATCTCAAGGTTTACTGGATTCGCACTAGCTTCTGCTAGATTTGTCCTCTCTGCCGGAACCGACCCTTCAATCTCCGCATCGTTTCAGAATCCATAACCTTCTCCCAATTGAATCCGTGAAATGAACCTGATGAATTGGATCTTGAAAGCTGACCGGTAGGCGGACCCGGCAACTCCATATGTTGCACAATTGGAACGTCTTCTGATTTTTTTTGCGACGGCGGACGATTGCGGACCGCTCACTACGCGGCGCATACGAATGTGTGTACACAGCACCAGCAGCAAGAAACTCGTTTTCGTTTCGTTTGCAACGATGTGTTCGCTCGGGATGATTAGGCTTTTCTCCTGGCAGGAAACCTCTCGTGGACTGGGAACCGATCCTCTTCGTGGGCAGCCAAACCTTGGCTGCATTCCGATCCGGTTCGAAGGACCAAATTATGTTCCAATGCAATGAACCATAACACATGCGGGAGGGAATCGCCGTGGAAAACGATCTTGGGATGACACTGGAAGTGCCCTTGACGATTCCCTTGGATGGACGGATCTTCGGTGGTGGACTGTATTTTCGGATGATCGGTTCGATGGAAAGAACACTTTTGCTACACTAACTTGACTACATTTATTACTCTTTGCTCTAGTGTACACACTTTGAAGGTTGAATTAATACTCATCTCGTTTTGTGCTGTTTTTTCTCGCACGGTAGGGATTCGATAGTATTGAGCGTCGCTTTTCGTAGTGTTGCCGTAGAAATAGGATTGGGCGCTACCTCACTTCAGTCCTTCTGGGAACGGACGGAACACAAACGCTAGATGAGTATACGCGTATTTTCAGGCATAGTAGAACTTTAATTGACCACGTTTATTCTAATTTTGATTCTAAAGGGTGTCCACGATGAAATTGCCACACACAAAATTGATTCGCAAAATTCGAGTTTTCATCCGATTGCCATCAAATTTTCAGGGATTGAGAAATAACTATTAAACTTTTATTTTTACCATTTTACTCGTATTTTATTTTACCATTTTACTCGTATTTTATTTACACAATTTTATTTACGCAAATGCCCGCACCTTGGTCTTAATCCCGGCCATAAGATTCTGCACAACCTGTGAATCAACCGTTTTTTGCATGTAAACCCATACTTTCTTCAGTTCCTCGACTGTCTTCACTACCTTAGGTCGTTTAAGAAGGTGCTGCTTCATAATCGCCCAGTACTTCTCGATGGGGCGGAGCTCCGGAGTGTTGGGAGGGTTGAACATTTTCGGCACGAAATTGACCTTATTGTCCGCATACCACTTCAGCACGTCCTTGGAGTAGTGGCATGAGGCCAAATCCGGCCAGAAGATTGTTGGGACGTTGTGGGCCTTCAGGAGAGGAAGCAGCCGCTTCTGGAGGCACTCTTTTATGTAAACCTGTCCGTTCATCGTGTCCTGGGTCACGAAAGGTGCACTCCGCTTCCCGCACGTGCAGATGGCTTGCCAAACCAGGAATTTCTTCGCAAATTTGGACATCTTCTGAGTGCAGACATGCTCCGGAACGCTGAACTTATCCTTGGCCGTGAAAAACAGGTTGCCGGGGATCTGTTTGAAGTCGGCCTTCACATATGTTTCGTCGTCCATGATGCAGCATTCAACTTTCGTCAGCATGTTGAGGTACAACTTCCTGGCACGGGTTTTGGCGGACTTGTTCTGCTTCTCGTCGCGATTAGGGGCCTTTTGTACCTTGAACGTTCGAAGCCCAGCCTTAGTTTTGGCCTTCTGGACAAAACTTCAGCTTAGGTGCAGCTTCTTAGCCACATCCCCAACGGAGGCGTTCGGATTTCGGTTGAAGGCCCCAACTACGCGGTTGTGATTTTTGTGTGTTGTACGGAATACTTTTTCCTTCACTTCTGGGCTTCTGATCGGTGGTCAACCGTTCCTCGAACCACTTAATCACTCGCGACACCGTGGAATTCGCGATTCCCAACGTTTTAGCGATGGAACGATGCGAGAGATCCTTGTTCTCGTGATGAATGCGCAAGATTTTATCATGCACGAGCTGTTCTTTCGACTCCATTTCCGCGAGTTTTGATCACAGGACTTTAAAACTTGCAGGATGTAAATAATGCACTATGAACTAAATCCACCCAAATTTTCATTAAATTCTACCCAACGGTTAAAAAGTTAGAGCAATTTCATAGTGTGGCAATTTCATCGTGGACACCCTTTATTTGTTCAGTTACGGATAGTGATTGGAATATAACCTAATTTTATCTAAGTTTAATGATTTGTTAATAGTGATTCTATTGAAATACAACAGCTGTTTAATAGTACTTATAGATTTGATGGTTTTCACCCAAAGTTCATCTAATGTAGAACTTTGAAATATTTTCTTTTCATTAACAAAAACGACTGGAGTAGATAAGGTTCACACTAGAGTTATTCAGGATTGCTTTTATGTCATTGGTCACAT